TTTTTTTAGTAGAGACAGGATCTCGCTCTTGCTCAGGCTGGTCTCGAACTCTTCCTGAGCTCAAATGATCAACCCGCCTCGGCCTCCCAGAGTGCTAGGATTACACGCATGAGCCACCACGCCTGGCCTCAAGAATTTTTATATATTTATTGGCACATGAAGCTTAACGAAATGTCTATTCAAATCTTTGACCTGCTTAAAAAATTTGGTTGCTCATTAAAATAATAAATTTATTATTGAATTTTTAGAGGTCTTTATACATTCTGGATACAAGTTCTTTATCAGATATGTGGTTTGCAAATATTTTCTTTAAACCTATGACTTGTCTTTTTCAAAGACCAAGAATTAATAATTTTGAAGATATCCTATTTATCATTTTTTTGTGGAATGTGATTTTGCTGTTGTATCTGTGAAATCCTTACCTAACCAAGTCACAAAAATTTCTCCTATGTTTTCTTCTGGAAGTCTTATAGTTTAGAAATTACATTTAGGTCTGTGATACATTTTGAGTTTATTATTTTTGTAAATGGTATGAGATTTTGACAGAAGTTCTTTTTTCTTTTTCTATTTGCATATGAATAGCCAGTTATCTCAGCAGTGTTGTTGAAATGACTACCATTTCTCCATTGAATTGCTTTTGTACCTTTGATGAAGATCGGTTGACCATGTATATGTGTGGATGTGTTTCTGGGCACTATTCTATTTCATAATTGCTTTGTCCATCTTTATGTCAGTAGTACACACACTGTCTTGAATGCCATAGTTTTATAATCTTGAAATCAGATAGTCTGAGTCTTTATTCTTTTTTCCAAAATTGTTTTAGTTTGTTGTCCTTTGCATTTCCAAATGAATTTTAGCATCAGCCTATCAATTATTACAAAAAAACCCAGCCTGCTGAGATTTTGATTGGGATTGCAGTGAATTGATAGTTTAAGGAGAGTTGACATCTTACTGGTATTGGGTCTTCTGATCCATGAACACAATGTATCTCCCGTTTATTTAGATCTTGTTTAATTTTAGCCGTGGTTTGTAATTTTAGTGGGCTTTCATAAATTATATATGTTATTCTGTGCTTACTCTTTTTACTTACCATTATTTTTCTGAAATTGATTCATCCTGATGCATGCAGCAATACTTCATTCATCTTCACTGCTATGTAGCATTCCATTGTATGAACATGCCATAATTTATTTGTTCTTTTATTGATGAACATTTGTTTCCAGGTTTTTTTTTTTTTCCTATTTCAAATAATGCACCTGTGGGTATTCTTGTACACCTGAGCTGGCACACATGGGTACCAATTTACTATGGTGTATGTGTGCCTAGGAATAGGCTACTGGGGGTAGGATTGGTGGGTGTGAAATAGTATTTCAGTGATGTTTTAATCCATATTTTCTGTGTCCTAATGAAGTTGATTATCATTTCATATGTTTTCCTTCTGTGAAATATTTGTTCATCTCTTTGTTCATCACCTAAGTTTTGCCCATTTTCCTTTTAGAATCTCTTTTCCTTAATACGTTTTAGGAGTTTTACCATATATTTTGGATATTGGATATATCTTTTTAAAATTATGTGTGTTACAAATATCTCATCCTAGTTCATGACTTGTCTTTTCATGTTCTCTTTTGTGTTTTCTGATGAACAGAAGTTGTGAAGCAACTCTACTATACTGAAGAGTTTACTCAATTTTAAAAACATAGTTTATGACTCAACAGTAAGACCTCTGAGCCCCAAATCCCATGGAAACCTTAGTTACAGATCCATTTTGTGATTTTCCTTTATAAAATCTTCATAAATGACTCTCATTTATCTTCTCCAGTCACAGTTTTGGAGGGTGGAGGTGGAGAGGAAAACCACTATTTCTTTAAGGATCCAATAACAAGGTTTATAAGCATATTTTGACACTTTTTCTTAAATTAATTTTTAGGCTGGTCCAGAATATGGTCAAGGAATGAACCCCATTAGCCGCCTGGCCCAAATTCAACAGGCCAAAAAGGAAAAGGAGCCAGATTATGTTTTGCTTTCAGAAAGAGGAATGCCTCGACGTCGAGAATTTGTGATGCAGGTATTTCTAACCTTTATATTAGAATTTTTAAAAACTATTGAAAACTTTTAGAAAGGTAAAGTAGGACTTGAAAGCAGAAAGTAAAATTGCGTTTACATTTAAAGCATTCATTCCCTCCAGGCTCACCTACCAACTTGGTGGAAACATTCAAGTGTCAAGGACATGTTAGAATAGACAACATGAGTTTTTGAAGGGACTGTGAGTTCACACAGGTTATTTGCCACAGAGTTTATCATTTAGTGCTTATCTCTTAATTTTTTGTGTTACATTTTACAGCCAGAGTCTGTTAACTACTGGGAATTGGAGACAAATGGAATTAGAAACAAAATTTAGAAGGATGAATGTAGTAGATGGAACAAGGCCAAGAACATGAGGCTGTGGGCTGTCAGGAAAATTAGAAAAAGAGAGGGAGCTGGCTGGCTAACCTTGGTGGGGGCTGAGGGACTCAGGATTGCTGAGAGATCTGACTGCTGCACTGTGCAGACAAGAAAATGGAAGAATAGTTGCTAGTGTATTGGTAGATGAATGGGGGCTAGGAATGAGACAGAATGCCTAAAATGCTCTCCTTCTTTTCAGATTCTACCTGTTCATCTTCATTTACCAAATCAAGCCCCACTCTCAAAAAACCTTTACTTTTGTATTATGAAAATTTCAAATCTATCCAAAGGTTGGGAGTGAATAGTATAATGGACCCCCAATATGCCCATCACCCACACTTATGTTTTTGCCATACTTGATTCAGCTATTAATTTTTCTTTCCTCCCTCCCTTTCTTCCTTTCTCCCTCCCTTCTTTTCCTGAAGTATTTCAGAGCTAATTTCTAACCACATAACATGTCAGCCTTGCATATTTAGTGTATGCCTCTAAAAGATACAGAAGTTTTTCTTACATTAGACATGATTCATTCATTCAGTCATCTAATACCTGGTCTATATTTAAATTCTCCTTATTGTCCCTAAACGGTTTTTTTAATAATTGGTTTGTCAAAGAAACTTTTGTAGTCAAACCCGAGGATCTTACCTTTCATATGATCCACATAAAATCAACAGATATTTATTAAGCGATGACCATGTGGCAGACATTTTGGCACTCACAGTATCTCATACTGATTAACTTTTCATGTATAGCTAAGTTTTGCCTTCCTCTCCTATTTTATAATCTTCATATTTCTTTATCTTATGGTACCCAGTATAGTGGTTTGTAAATAGTAGGACCATAATAAACATTTGATACATATTTGCTGCCTGTCTGCCTGAGAGCTAGTGTGTTTGGCTTTTGTTGGAGATGTAAACTTAGGATGTAGTCATGGATAAACCACTACTGAGAACCCACATATCCAAATAGGCAGAATTCTTTATGGTTAGTAAATACATGATTGTCTAGATGTCATTAGGACCCAGAACAGTGTCGTTCTAGTATTTTCATTTGGTAAAATATATTCACCATTTTTCATATTAACATTCTTAGCTTTGAAGAATTCTAAAATGTATTCTTTTAACTCCAAAGCTTGAAGAAAGAAAATCACCTAAATTTTAGACATGTATTGGGAATATAAACCAGCTTTGGTTTTATTAAGCAATTCCTTTTCTATGGAGTATATTGAGTACTCCTTTGAAAGAGAAATTTGGAGTATCTTAGGCCAGCTTTCATTTTATGGGTATTCATAAACATTCTAGTCAAACAGGGACATTTGGCTGTGCTTTTAAATGTTTTCACACTGAATTCATATTATTTTTTCCCTTCTGGAAGCCCCAGTGGATTCATTACGGTGTTGCAGCAACTTTATCAAAGTAAAAGCTTTTGTATAAATTACTTAAGCGCTGTTATCATTTGTTATAATTGAAGGTGGAAGTAAAATGTCTAGCAATAATATGCTCATTTTTATCTATCACCAAAAAGAGTCAGTTTGTGTATTATAAAATGGATGCAGTTACTTGTGTTGATTACTAGATTAAAAAAAAAAGAAAATTTCTGATAACATTATTTGGGTAGTTAATTTCAAAGCAGATTTCTTAAAGCTTTTCATTTTTTTAGTGAGAGATATTTTAATTTTTAAAACAGCAAATAATGTTAACAATTGTATATCAGCACACTGTATTATATATCATATGATATTAACTTTTCTACCTGTGAATAAGATCTCCAGGTTTTTAGAAATATATAAATCAAGTTTCATCAATTTTATTTGTATCTCAGTGAAAGATAATGAATAAAGTTTTTGGCAAATGCTATTTCAGAACTTTTTTGTTTCTTAGTTTTTTGAGGACTTGATTCATGTGGCTGATTTGTTTAAAGACCAAAATCTGGCAGTCTTAAATTTACTGCATAGTAAAACAGTTCAACCTTTTTTCAGATAGAAATTAACATTTTAATGTAGAGATCTTATTTACAATAGTTATAAAATTTGAGATTTCAAGGAAGATGACTTACGAAATTTAGTTTGTATACTTATTTGACTTTTATAATAAAGTGATGTTTTGAGTGACCATTGTATTATATTTAACAGCAGGGAATGAAAGTCTTTCAGCAATGTGGTCTTTTTAATACTAACAAATTACTCTAAGATAACTACTTACAAACTATTGAACCATGCAATTGTAAAAACTTACGTAAGATAAGGGGTGAGTGAATGGGAAAATGCATCTGAGAAGCACCTGTTCTAGAAGTAAGTCTTGAAGGTATCAGAATAGGTCAGATGGAAATTCTGCAGAAACAGAGACAAGGCGGGTGCAGAGATGGGAACAGCATTACAGCTGACAATTCCAAGAGCAGGAGCCTGGAGCCAGAGGGCATCAGGCCTGAGTAGATAAATGAGATTTATGGATGGAGCAGCAGAAAAATTGAATGAGAGTGAGTGAGGTATGTTTAGCATGCAAAAACAGATGAAAAATGTTTTACAGTTATTTACTGCACAGAGATCTTTTGCTTCTATTTACTTTGGCAACGTCTTTTGACCCTCAGAGCAGTAGAGGAAGCCTCTGACGTAGCTGACCTAATCTTTTCACTAAAAAGTGTTCCAGCAACAACACAGGGGCTGGTGAAGCTAAGGAACAACCCAAGCACTGGAAAAAATAACAGGTAGCAGGGGCTACTGTAGCCAGCAATTCGAGGATGTTATCAACAGGGCCTGTTGTGTTGAGGTGAGGTTTAGGCAGACACTGACTGACAGGTTGTGTGAGTCCATCCTGCTTCAAGGATCTGCCGTAACTGTACTAGATCAGTGCTTCTCACAGTACGGTCCATAGACTACTTCTCATTTGTTATGATATGGTGGTTTCTGGTTTCAGAAAAAGCAATGAAATGTTTCAAAAACATTTTACAGAATTGAACTACACAATTTGTGATAGTTGTTACAGGAATTCTGTAATGAATGAATATATTTTCAGTATTTCATGTGCTACAATAACTATATCATTTAGTTTGTCTTGACTAAAACTGTTAGAAGAGTACAATTTCTTTTTCATATAATTTGCATGTTGTTAATGTTTGTTAAGTTTGTATTTTGTTACCATTGCATTATATATCCCCAGTTCCTTAAAAGTGTTTTGTTCGTTGAAGCTAAAAAGTAGTGGTGGAAATAGTAACAAAGATAAAACTCTAAATAATGGTGTAAGAATAAATGGTAAACAGTACTCAAGTGTGGATACCAGATGAGAATCTGTATTTTCTGGGACAGATGAAACAGCCAATGTTATGATTTCACACAAGAGCCAAAAAAGAAAAGTATGGGTAGAAGTATTTTTCTCTATTTCTGAAAACTGAATTTTGTTGTACCATTCTTCATTAGTACCCAGTGTATTGTCATTGTGAAATTTTATTAAAGTGGCATGAAGTTATTGAAGCTTTCTAATTTTTTTTTTTTTTATTTTTGAGACGATCTCACTCTGTCGCCCTGGGTAGAGTGCAGTGGTGTTGTCATAGCGCATTGCAACCTCAAACTCCCGGGCTTCTGAGTAGCTGGGACTATAGGTGCTTGCCACCACGACACCCAGCTAATTTTTCTATTTTTAGTAGAGATGGAGTCTCGCTTCTGCTCAGGCTGGCCTGAAACTCCTGAGCCCCAGCGATCCTCCCGCCTTGGTCTCCCAGAGTGCTAGGCTTACAGGTGTGAGCCACTGTGCCCAGCCATCATTTTTTTTTTTTTTTTCTTAACAAAGCATAGTGACATCTGGTAAAACAATCCAACTTTTCATATATGGATTGCTTGTTCAGCTCTCTTACTCATTTTTCTACTGGCTTTTTAAAAAATGGACTTATAGGAATCTACTATATATTCTGGATGTGAGCGCAGTTATATGGCATTTCAAATATCTTCTCTTGTGTTGACTTTCCTTTTTTCCTTTTTTCGTAGTGCTTTTTGAAGAACAAGCGTAATTAATTTTAATGCAGTCAGATTTATCTGTCTTTTCCTTTATGTTAAGTCTAGGAGACAAGTAAGTGCCCCCACCTTGTACTTCCTTAAAAGGATCTTGACTGTTCTTAGCATTTTGCATTTCTATGTAAATTTTGGAATCAGCTTGTCAAGTATTGTAGAAATATGTATGGGATTTTGATTGGCGATTGATTGAATTTATAGGTCAGTTTGAAGAGTACTGATGTCATTATACTACTGCCTTCAATTCATGAACATTGCAAGTTGCTCTATTTATTAGGTTTTCTTAATCTTTCTCAATAATGCTTTTGTTTTCTGTGTAAAGGCCTTCCACATTCTAGGTATTTGATTTTCATTTAATGTAAATGGTATCTTTTAATAATTTTGATTTTCTACTTGAATGTTAATGGAATATAGAAATGCTGTTGTCTTTTGTATGCTGACCTTTTATGCAGAGAGCTTGTTACAGTCTCATGAATTCTTATAGTTCATCTGTAGATTTTCTTGGATTTCCTATATATAAATAATGATTTTTTCTGTAAATAATGGTTTTTTTCCCCTTCTAATTCTTCCTTTTCTTTTTCTTGCCTTATTTTTCTTCCTAGATTTGTAGTAAAATGTTAAGTACTAGTAATAATAGAGCACATCCTTGCTTTGTTTCTAATCCCAGTTTCGTTCAACATTAAGTATAATGTTTGTTGAGGTTTGCTGTAGGTTTTTTGTAAAGTGTCTTTATCATATTCAGGAAGTTCCCTTCTTTTCCTAGTTTGCTAATTGTTTTTATTATGGACGAATGTTGAATTTTATCAAATGCTTTTGGTCCATTTATTAGGATGATCATCTGGTTTGTCTCCTTAACATATAGTGTAGCAAATTCCATAGATTGCTTTCTGCTTGAATTTCAAGTGTTACACCAATCTTGCATTTCTGGAATAAACCCAACTTTATCATGATTCTTCTATTTACATATTGCTTTATTCATTATACTGTTTAAAACGTTAGCATCTGTGTTCATGAGTGAAACTGTTCTGTAAATTTCCTTTCTTAGACTGTTCTTGGATTTTGGAATCAAAGTGATGCCTCATAAAATAATTGAGGAATGATGCCTCTTTTTCTATTTTTGAGTGAATTTGCATAATATTAGCATACTTCTTCCATAAATTTAGGGTAGAACTTTATGGAGATGCTCTCAGTAGTAGCTTTCTTTGTGGAAAGGTTTTTTTTTTTTTTTTTGGTTTTAATTTCTTTAGTAGTTGTAGTCCTATCAGTTATAGACTTATTTTTTGGCAATTTTGGTAACTTTTTTATCTAGGAATTTTTCTATTTTATCGAAATATTTTTTAAAATATAACATAAAATTGTTCTCAGTATCCCTTATTACTCTGTAATGTTACAGAAACTGGTTACCTTTCTTTGTCATTATTTGTGTCTTATTTTTTTCTTGATCAGTCTTACCTCTAGTTTATCATTTTATTAGTCTATTGAGAGAACCAACTTTTGGGTTTTTAAACTCTGTCATACTTTCTTTTCTATTTTCTTAATTTTGGCTCTTTTTTTTTTCTTTTATTTTCTCTGGTTTTATTTTGTTCTTATGTTTGTAACTTTTTGAGGTGGATGTTTAGTTCATACCTTTCAGCCTTTCTGTAAGCTGTTAAGACTATACATTTTCGCAGCCCGGCGCGGTGGCTCACGCCTGTAATCCTAGCTCTCCTGGAGGCCGAGACGGGCGGATTGTTTGAGCTCAGGAGTTCGAAACCAGCCTGAGCAAGAGCGAGACCCCGTCTCTACTAAAATTAGAAAGAAATTAATCGGACAACTA